TATAGAACAAGTGAAGGCAATGACAAAGCACTCCAGTATCTCTGCCAAGAAACCCCGGAATGGGGTCACAAAGAGTTGGACACAATTGAAAAAAGACTGAACATCAAATGGTGAAAGCCTGAATAAATTGTGGCAAATGAATGCAATAGATCTATTACATAATTGAAAATGGTAAATATGAGAAGTTCGGAGAAATTTGAGTAGACTTGTATAAACTGATGCAAGAGATAAAAATTTTTTTAAAAAATATGCAAGAATACAATCATAGAAAAGCATGCTAAAAGACAACTGAACTCTATGGCAATGACCAATCTTGACTCCAGAGGAGAGATGATGACACGTCCCTCTTTCGTAGTAATGGAGTATTGGTTTCTGGAATCAGAGGACCTAGGTTTGAATACTGTCTCTATCACTACCTGTGCTATCACAGACCCTCTTTGGGCCTCAGCATTCTCAACTGTAAATGGAGGGGTTGGATCAGATAAACTCTAAGGAAATTTCTGGCTCTAAATCTGTTATCCCAATTGCAGGTAGGGAACCTGCAAACTTAAGGCCACATGTGGCCCTCTAGGGCCTCAAGTGCGGCCCTTTGACTGAATCCAAACTTCACAGAACAAATCCCCTCAATAAAAGGGGATTTGGGTGCAGTCAAAAAGGCTGCACCCAAAGACCTAGAAGGCCACAGGTTCCCTACCCCTGTGACCTAAATTAAGGTAAGGAACTATAGGAACAGAATATTGCCTACAGAGTAAGATGAAGTAACTATTAGCTGGTTTCACTTGACTTTTTTCTTTGGGTTCTACAAGTGTGGGGGAGGGGGAGATCAAGAATGTTTGTGGTATAAAAAGCAAAAGATAAAACTTTTTTTAAAAAACAAAGAACATTAAACAGATTCTGAAGAGCAAAGTTTGAATCTATCATTTATTAACTCTGTGTCCTTGTATAGGTTATTTAGCCTCTTTGGAGCCCCATTTCTTTATCTGTAAAATGGGGAAAATAGAGAGGCAGCATGACATAGTGATGAGAGTGCTTGACTGTGATTCAAGAAAACCTGGATTGCAATTTCTGTCTCAGATACTTGTGAGCTGCGTGACCCTGAGAAAATTCACCTAATCCTGCTGAGCCGAAGTTTTCCGATCTATAAAATGGGGATGATATCACCTCCCTTATAGGACTGTTGTAAGAAACAAATAACATACATAAAACACTTCATCAATCTTTAAGTGCTATGTAAATGCTAGGTATTGTTTTTTCCTACCTCACAAAGTTGAGATAATGTAGGTAAAGTGCTTTATAAAAGTAAACTTTTATTATCTGTTGATAAGAATCAGAAAGATTCATCTTCCTGAGTTCAAATCTGGCTCAGACACTTAAGTTGTATGGCCCTGGGCAAGTTGCTTAATTCTGGTTGCCTCAGTTTCCTTACATCATTTCCTTGCAGTTGACAACTACTACTGTCAGAAAGGTGCATAATCAGCTCTTTTTTAAATTGTGCTATGTTATGGAAATGCTTTATTCCATAAATTAAAAATACAATAAATAATTTTTTAAAAAGAAAGTAGAGCCTTGATGTACTCTGACTCTTGGAGTTAGCAATTTAAAAATCTCCATCTTTGCCTATCTGCTTTTGCTTTTCATCAGCTTGCTACAATAGGACAGTAGTTCTACTCCTATCTCTTCTCCAAACTGCACTCATAATTGAATATAAAAACAGCCTTAACAATGAACAGAACCCTGAAGTAAGGATTGGTCACCGCATTTCTCAGACTTCTTCAGTCTTCTAGCATTATTTTTCTTTACATTACCGTAGTCATTGAAAATTTTTCTGATTCTGCTTACTTCAATATTAGTTTAGAGCTCTAGCCCAGTTTCCTTGAATCTTCATTCTTAAGACACAAAAATGTTCCATTATGTTCATACAACACCGTATGTTCACTCAGTTCTCCAGGAGTCACTTTTCCAGGAGCAGCCACTTTCCCTCTAGTTCTATGCTATTAAAAAGTACGTTTGTATATATGGAAACTTTTTACTCTCTTTCACCTTCATAGACTAATGGTATTGCTAGATCAAATGGCCTGTGTACATTTGACTTTTTCAGTCTGACTTCAAATTGCTTTCCAGAATGGACTGTTTCATAGCTCCAACAGTGCATTAATGGGCCTGCCTTCTCACAACTCAACAGCTATCATTTTTGTCTTTTGGCAAACTGATTGACATGAAGTAAAATCTCAGAGTTGCTTCAATTCGCATTTATTATTAGTAATCTGGAGCATCCTTTCATGTGGTTGTTAATAGCTTGTGCTTCTTTTGTTTTTCAAAACTGCTCATGTTCTTTGACAAGGCTCATGTGTATGTAGTCCTTATATATCTTGGATATCAAATTTTTATCAGAGGCATTTGCTACAAAGATTTTTACAATTAACTCCTTTCTTTTAATTCTACTACATGATTTTTTTTTCCATGCAAAAGCTTTTCAGCTTTAATGTTCTCTAATCTCTATACATTATTTAGTTAAGAATTTTTTCTTTGGTGGGGAGGGAGGTGGAGAAAAATTTAAAACTCAAAAGCTTATGGAAGTGATTGTTGATAAATCAAAAGAAATTAATAAAACAATGAAGAGAACCACATGTGTAATCAATAACATAAGATAAGATGCTCCAAGGAGGAAGAACATGACACAGGCACTTCCTAGGGCTGGGTCTCTCCCCCACCCCCCACCATGCTGAACAAAGTGCAAGTTGAGAGAATACAAATAAAACTAGGACCATAGGGAGAAGAGGCAGTGGTTCCTGCCTTTCTGCATCAAAGTCCTTAGAATATTGGAGCAGTAAATAAAATACAGGAAGAATGCATATTGCCAAAACAAAGGTAACTCCCTCCAAAGCCTGATAATCAAACAAGGGAAAGACTGATGAAAATAGTCTTAGATCCCTATCAAAGAGCTCAGGATCAAAGGGCCAAAGACTAGAGATTGTTTCAAAAGTTAATAATTAAGGCATTCAAGAAGAAAGAAAGGAGTAGTTTCAATAACCATGCAGTTTGTCTTCGGATTTTCTTTGATTGCTTATCCCCACCTCCAATTAGATAACCAAGGGAAAAGCTGGGAAAGGAGACCAATACAAGGAAAAGCCAAAGAGAAGGGAGGTGGTGACCACTGGCCTTGCATCTTGCACAAGATCCCTTGTTTTAGACACTGAACTCTTGAGTGTAGCCAAAGGATCACTGATTTGGGAGAGAGCATCTTGTGGAAAAGAAAGGAAAAATATATTTAGATAATAGCTTTAAGGTTTTCAAAGTATCTTAATATGTTATCTCACTTGATCCTGACAATAATCCTGTACGTTGGTGCTGTTATTGTGAGGAAATTGAGACTCAGAGGACAAGCAATTGATACCTACAATCATAGAGAGCTGAAGAGGCAAGATTGGAACTCGGTTTGCCCCACTCCGAGTCCAGTGCTCTACCTGCTATACCATTGCCTTTTGGGGAACTGCTTTTCAGATGCACAAATAATTAGAAGCCTAAGTACACAAAAGCATCCAGGAATTAGGTCCTACAATGGTCCCTTTCCTACGTTAGAGACAGACAGCTACCCCCCTGAGGAGACCTGAAACAGAAGTAGCATAGACCTGATGAAGATCTGAGGAAGAATCTGATGATGAAACACGTTGCTTGTATGTGTATACATATTCACACATATATTATATGTATGTAAATGTGTGTATATAGTAATACACATGGACATGGAACTACAGAATGCTACCAAGACTACTTCGAGGAGATAGTATGGTACAGTGGAAAGAACCCTGGTCTCCTACAAGGTGCAAACAAGATGAAAGACAAGCTCCTTTGGTTTCTCCCTCTCTTAAACCCCAGCAAATAAAGTTCAAAATATGCCATCACACTAGAGAATTCTGGGAGAAGTTTTGGTCATCTGCAAAGTCTGGTATCTTGATGGCAATGTTCTCCAAACAACAGGTTCGCCTTGTTATTGCCACTGCACCCTCAGGGCCACTGGGCATTTCCATATCTTTTGCAAATGAACTCTGCTGTGTGATCTCTCTCCCAATTGGAATGTGAGTCCTTGGGAGGAGGGACTGTCTTGCTCAGCTATCTGTATTTTCAGCCCTTGGCAGAGTATTTGACGCGTAGTACGTGGTTTATGCATGTTTTTCCACTCATTTACCTCAACCCAGGCCTAGAAACTTTAAAAAAAAATTCATATGACAGAGACATGAAGAGCAGCAGAAAGGAGGAAAAAAAGGAGAGGTAGAGTGAAAGGGAAAGAGAGAGGAAGACAGAAGGCTGGAAAGGCAGAGAAAGAAACAGATAGACACAGAAAGGAGACTCTCTGATAAATTTTCATTTGGAAACGAAAGAAATAGGAGCAAAAGAGCTCCCCAGGTAGAGCACATACTTGGATCTGTGACTGAAGATTTACATACATAATTGGAATTGTTGTTTATTTAAGATTTTCTGGGGTTTTTTCTTCCTTTTGAAAAGGAAAAGGCTGGGGGCAGCAAGGTGGCAGTGAATAGAGCACTGGCCCTGAAGTCAGGAGGACCTGAGTTCAAATCCAGCCTCAGGCCAAACACTTGACACGTACTAGCTGTGTGACCCTGGACAAGTCACTTAACCCCAACTGCCTAAAAAAAAAAAAAGGAAAAGGTCTACTGTGATAGTGTAGTTCATGCCTGCAAGTTGTAAGTCAATCTCAGAATACTGAGGGAGAGGAGGGAGAAGAGTTAAATCTCTCCAGTTTTGAGTGAAGTTGCAAGTTAAGACAGTGAGAAAGTACCATGTGACTCAAACCTAGAGCCCTCAACCCGAATCCCAGACCATGAACCCATCATCCATTCCATAATATTTAGGTCAAGTATATCAGGTATCTCTCAGTGCACTCAGACAGCAACCAAACATCGAAAAAAAAAATCTGCATGAGTTAACCCTCCAAGTAATCATTTTGCCTCATCACCCTAGGGTTTATTCAAAGGATATACTCCAAGAAAATTTTCTCTGCTCCTCATAATATTCCATCTTCCACCTCCAGGCCTGGAACACTCTCCTTCCTTGTCCTGAAGAAAAGAGGGTAGGATCAGTCAATTCCCAGGCTGGCTTACCCTCAGGATCATTGTGCCTTCCTACCTCAGAATGAGTTGGGATGAATGCCTCATTGAAGATAACCATTGATGCTAGGCAGGAGATTTATTGAAGGAGTACAAAACCTGGGAGATCTGTGCTGCTGATTAGTAGATTCCATCCTTCCCCATTCCTGACCCTCGAACATTCTAACCTTGTCAATGCTTTCTCCCAGGGCCTGGAGTCAGGAAAACTGGAGTTCAAATCTGACCTCAGACTCTTACTAGCTGTGTGACCCTGGGCAAGTCACTTAACCCTTGTCTGCTTCAGTTTCCTCAACTGTTAAATGGAGATAATAAGAGCATCTACCTCCCAGGATTGTTGTGAGGATCAAAGGAGATACTTATAAAGTTCCTGGCCCATAGTAAGTGCTACATAAATGTTAGCTATTATAACTAGCACCATAGCTTGCTGTGTTTAATTATTTATGTTTGTGAAGTGAAATATGATAATAATCTCTAAAGAATTAGTTTTTATTTCAAGCAAAAGATATGAGCAAAATAATTGAGGCTTACCTTCCTGTAACTTCAAATATTGTTCTCTTGTTTCCAAAATCAGTTCTTCAAACTAAAAAAAAAAGATTAAAAACAGAAATTATCGTTTCCAAAGTCCTAGATAAAGATACACTTTGAGGGGCAGCTAGGTGGTGCAGTGGATACAGCACCAGCCCTGAAGTCAGGAGGACCTGAGTTCAAATTCGGCCTCAGACCAAACACTAGACACTTACTAGCTGTGTGACCCTGGGCAAGTCACTTAACCCCAATTGCCTAAAAATTTTTTTTTAATTCAAAAAAAAAGACACACTTCTACAATATAAGGAAGAGAAAGTAGATTACAATTATTTTAAAAGTAGCTTTGGAAACACAGACTCTCAAAGCTGGAAGGGACTTCAGATGTTAACTAGTCCAACCTATACCTGATGATACTGGCACCTTTATGACATACACTACAAATGGTCATTGCCTCTGGTTGATGACCTCCAGTGATGAAGAGGCCTCTACTCCCCGGAAAGATCTGGGTTAAATCTATGCCACCTATGTGACCTTGGGTAAATCATTAAATTTCCCTGAACCTCAGTTTCCTCATTTGTAAAATACGAGTTGGGCTAGGTGACTCAGGAGGTTTCTTCTTGCTCTAAATCTATAATCCTGAGTCACCTATCCTCCCTTGGGAGGTTATGGCTAGATAGTTCATCTGAAAAAAGTTTGCTGGACTGAAATGTCAATGTGAGCCAACAATGTGATATGGCAGCCTCCCCCCTCACCCCCACAAAAAAAGAGCCAATTTGAACTCAGTTTGCATTAAGAAAGGCACCTTACACCTGACACTCACCAAGCTACATTGCAGCTAAACTGGCCTAGTGCTATTTTCTATATACAATATTCTATCTTCTACCTCATACTACATCCACCTCTTAGAATCCCTGCCTTCCTTCATGGCTCAGCTCAAGGGCCACCTCCTGCAAAAACCCTTTCCCAATTCTTCTGGGAAATATTTCGTATACATTTTTAATTTGACTTATCTGCATGCATGTTGTTCCCCATCCCCCACCCCCCAGGAGGATATAAACTCCTTTGAGATCAAAATTTATTTTGGTTTTGACTTGGTATGCCCAGTACCTAGCATAGTGCCTGGCTATTCCTAAGCACTTAATAAATGTGAAATGAATCAAAATGAAATTAAATTACATCCAAAGTAAGAGGAATGACACAAACACAAGATAGGCAAATATAAAATATGTAAAAAGTAAATTCAAAATAATTTCAGGGAAGTGATGAAATTCTAAGTGGGAAGGGTAGGAGATAGGAAAGGATCAGAAAAGGCCTCAAGGCTGAGCCTTGAATGGAGCCTGGTATTTCATTTCCATAATTATTCATTGACTAGGCATTTCTTAAAATTTAAAATCCATCCAGCTACTGTGCTAGGTCCCAGGAATATAAAGACAAAGATTAAAGAATTTCTGTCCTCAGACAGCTTATATTCTATAGATTGCTAACAATTGTAATAGCAAACTAAAACTAATTTTATGTTACTAGATCCATTGGTTATCAGAATACCAAGTTTGTTTGTTTTGTTTTGTTTTTAAATCAGAATTGGGGCAGCTAGGAGGCACAGTGGATAGAGCACCAGCCCTGAAGTCAGGAGGACCCCAGCTCAAAGTTGGCCTTCAGACACTTGACACTAGCTGTGTGACCCTGGGCAAGGCACTTAACCCTGACTGCCTCACCAAAATAAAATAAAGTCCAAGTCCTGCACAGTACTTGGCCCTAGAAAGAACAAACTTCAACTCCAGCTGCAGCTAGGAGCCATCGAACGGACTCCATCCTACCTCTTCCATTAAAGTAGTAGAGTCTCGGTTTCTCTGCCATGACTTCAGGTTATCAGTTGCCTGGGGAACAAAATAAAGAGAAAGATGTTTTTAAGACAAATTAGGAATTGGTTGGAGGATATTTTTCACCCAGACACTCATATTTACCACCGAGTTGCTAGGAACTATTCCCTGCCTGTTCATTTTGTTGACTATGCTATTTAAATGGTTGTTACATAAACCCAATGTTATGTCTATCAACCCAAACTGTTTGCAATTGTTACTAATGAAACAATGTAAATAATGTGAGATCTCTCAGATGGGCTGAGTGTAACAATTTCTTAGACTGTTGCAAACCTTACACTAACCTGAATAGGCCTAAGTTTCGAGTTCCTAGAAATCACATGATCAACAACATTAGATAATGGCTAATTACTAAATAAGGATAAAATAGCTAGGATTGGTGGTATTATATATGGTTTCTCGTTTCTGGGATAGATTTTCGCGTTTTAGATTGTAAGGCTGAAATTCCTGTCCAATGGGAATTCAAAGCCAGTGGTGGGTGGGTATTTCTACCTTAGGGCTATATAACCTTTGTCCTGGCCTTTGTTACTGGCCTCCCTTCTCCGACCGACCGACTGAGCAGACTCCCGCTTCTCAAGAGAACCTAATAAAACTTTCACTTTATACCTAGAGAATCTGAGTAGTATTTTCCGGACGGTCGCAGCTGTACCACACACTAAGCTTGCAAAGAGAGAGAAGGAGGATCCCATTTCTCAGAGGGAAAGATGACCATTTTCCCCTCAGTGCAAGATGGAGGAGCAGGGAGAGGTCAAGAAAAAGGAGAGTCTATTATTTTCATAACCTTTTAGAGTGCATATCAGTATAAGCAATACACTGGACAAAGAGAGAAAATCACTCTTGGAAGACAGAAAGTTCACACATTAGAAATAACATCCACTTTTAGCTTTAGAATACTCTAAGAGTAAGTAGCTTCCTCTTCCTCCTCCCTTCCCTTTGAGTTGCAGCTTGCCAAAGGGAAGGGTGATAACATCACCCATTCACCACCGGACAGAATTGGAGAACTTTGCATAGGCAACAGCTTTATTGATTGGCAAGCTATCTGCACTTAAAGCTGAAGAGTTTCTGCCTTTGCTCACACACTCTGCCTGATGGTCACGATAGTTATTCATTTTTCTTAACTAACTACTCCACATGCTCTAACCACAAAAATCAAGTTTTACAGGGAAACTGAATGAGTTTATGCACAAAAATCCATGAATAGCAAACTTCACCCAAATCCTTTAACTGAATGTTTGAAAGGAGTAAGGAAGGAGTGAGAGAGGAAGAAAGAAAAGCAATGCCTTCTATAGTCATATTTCTCTACTCTAGAACCTAACCTTACCTTTCCTTACCTGAAAAAGAGAAGGTCTCAGGTCTTTAATGAGATTTTTTTTTTTTGCCTTTTTCCTTTCTTTTAAATTTGATCTCTGCTTCCAGGGCGGAAGGGGCTGTGTCTCAGGCTTCTTGCTCCATTGGCTACAGGCCCTGGCTGTTTACCTGTTATTGCACTGATGTTACCCCCGAGGCTCACGGGAGACCCTCTTCTCTAGTGCTATGTTGAGGGAGCGACTAGCGCTCCTGGAGGCTGTAGCAGCCTGGCAACTTACCCGGTACTGAGCTGAAGTCCTAGTGGGGACGTCTGGAGTGTGCTGAAGCCCTGTGGGTTTTTCTGCGTTTTCCCGAGGCTGTGTGGAGATCTGGGTTACTTTCTCTACAAAGTGGAGTGCGCCTGCTTTCTCTGGGCTGTGAGGACGAATTTGGAGGTCTGCCTGTTTGCTCTAGACTGTGTTGAAAAGCCCAAGGAGATCTAGGCTACTTTCTCAATCAAGCTAGAGAGCTTGTTCGCCCAGGGCTACACTGAAAAGCACGTGCAGACCTGCCAGTTTGCCCTGGAAGTCTGGGCTACTTTCTCTACAAAGCTGGAGGTCTGCCGTGTGGCCCGGGGCTACACTGAAGCACGCAATGTTTCCCCTGGCTATGCCACGGGGATGAGCAGCCCTGAAAAGGGCTCAGCAAAACCTCCCAGTAGAGGTGCTGGTCCTCTTGAACACCCCATATACCCCACAGGCAATTCAAGTAATTCATTAATTCTCTTCTTTACTGAACAGCAAGAACCTAGAAGAATCAAAATTACAGGTAGAATGGTAGAGCCATAGATAGGTTCATAGATCTAAAGCCGGGAAGGATCTTAGAGGTCATCCAGTCCAATCCTCTTATTTAGAGGTTTACAGAGGTCAAGAGACTAGAGGATTTATCAAAGGATGTGGGCAAGAATTACACAAAATGAAAGGCATGAATCTCTTGGGCTCTGTATCTTTGCATCTACACTTGGGAAATCCTGTACCTACAGAAGTATTAAAGTTTACTGTTGCAAGAAATCTAGGTGAATTCTCCACTCCCAAAAATGTTTTCTATTAATTCTTAATAAAGGCCTAAAGCAGTGATTCCTTTTTTTTTTCTTAAGGCAATCTTAAGTGATTTGCGCAGGGTCATACAGCTAGTAAGTGTCTGAGGCTGGATTTGAACTCAAGTCTTCCTGATTTCAGGATCAGTACTCATCTACTGTGCCACCTAATCACCCCAAAAGCAGTGATTCTCAAAGTATGGTCCAAAGACCCTTGGGGATCTCCAAGCCTTTCTGGGGGGCCTTGAAGTCCAAACTATTTTCATAATAATGCCAAGATGTTTTTTGCCTTAATTAAAATACTCCTTTCTTTTTCAACTACATATCTGTGCGAGGCAGGCTTTTCTTCACATACTTCAACCAAAACAACATATCACAACAGGAAGAACGCAGAAGCAGATATGAGAATCCAGCTGTCATATGAGCCACAGCATTAAAGATATCTGAAAAAAAAATGTAAAACAATGCCCCTCTTCTCACTAAATTTTTTGTTTCACAAATATAACTATTTTTATAAAACTGTTATTTACAATAACATAATAGGTTTGTTATTTTTTAATGAATTAGTATCTTAGAATTTTATCAGTTTTGATTTCTGATGTGCTAAATATTGATAGGTATAACCCACATAAACAAAATCTCGTTGAGGTCCTTAATAATTTTTAAGAGAACAAAGTGGTCTCAAAACCAAAAAGATTGAGAACTGCTGGCTTAAACTACTTGAGACTGATTGTCCATCCCCATGAGGTCATAGGATCATGTTTCTAGAGCTGAATGGGACTTCAGAAGCCATCTGCAACAGCCCCATCATTTGGTAGATGATGAAACAATAGAGATTAAATGATTTGCCTAAGGTCACAAAAGTAATGTCAGAGGCAGGATTTGAATCCAGGTCTACCAACTCTAGAGCCCCTGCTGTTTTCACTATACCATGCTAATGTAGGGAATTATATTTTTGCCCTACAGCCAAATGTCAGTGACATATGCCCCACAGAAGTTCTTGGTGCATTGAATCAGTATGCTTCAGACTCTTGCCAGGGCTTGTAGGAACAGAAGGAGAAAAATGGAAGTTCACGGGATAGTAGACTGAGAGCTAGACAGAACCCTGGGAGTTATCTATCCAACATCCCTACCCCCATTTTGCAAAGGAAGGAAATGAAGCTCAGAGACATTAGGTGACTTGCCCAGGGTCACACACTTTGTGTCAGAAACTAGACCCAAGTTTTCCTGATTCCAAATTTTCTGTTTTATCTATTACTCCATGCTGCTAGACATATAAATATAGATAGATAGATAGATGTAATTTTTTATGGGATACTTAGGGTTAAGTGACTTGCCCAGGGTCACACAGCTAGCAAGTGTCAAGTGTCTGAGGTCATATTTGAACTCAGGTCCTTCTGATTCCAAGGCCAGAGCTCTATCCACTACGCCACCTAGCTGCCCTTGACCAAAATATTCTTCTTGGCTACTCCTCTCCACTAGTTAAGAGGTTACTGGACTGGATGAATGCAAGACGTGGGAACAACATGGGCTTCTTTTTTCTCTGACTAGCTTTTGTTTTTGTTTTTCTTGTTTTGTTTTGTTTTTTACAGGAATCACATTCCATGTCAATGAATGGTCTCTTGTTTTCTTGTAAATTTTAGCCCTAGAAGACAGGTATGGTGGAAATCAAACATATCCCTATCCTGAAACACACATACTCATCCCTATACACAAAGTATCTTGATAAGAGGAAAATTCTTCAAGGACTGTTATCTAGACCTTGGACAAACTTTGAGATGCTCAAAACTAGGGGAAAATTATCAGCATAGCATTAGGAAGAGATGGGATCATCATTCATATGTTCCCAAACCTTACCCTTCATCACCTCAGTCATGATACCTTCTGAAGGACTTTGTCAAAGAATATTCAGTCTATTCAGATTAAAGGAATAAACACACACTAGTTGTCCATTTTCAGTTCTAAACGCAAAAATGTAAACATAAACCACAGATCTGTGCACAGAAAGCCTTTATTTGCTGCCTGTCTATTTCATTTGTTGTCACAGCACAGGAAATTGGGACTTAGGTCAGTAGCATTAAGTAACATGGTGCTATTTATTAGAACTTCAAATGCTATGTTTAGCACAAAAAACATGGTGCAAAATTCAGCAAGTACTCAATGTCTTAGGTGCTGGGGCAATTTAGATAAGGCCTCCCTCCCAAGGTCACTTCTGGAAGGTGAAGAGGGCATATAGCTGGTGGTGGTCTCCCTCAGCTCAGGGAACAGATGGGGAGGGTTAGGCTCAGGACATGTATATCCTGAAGCTTAGAGTGAACCAGAGGAGCCAGAGAGGGCTTAGAGCAAGATAAGGTGGAGAAATCCAGAAAGCTAAGAAATCAAGAGATCACTGCTTGAATTGTGGACCTCAAGTCAAGTGTTTAGAAAGGACATTCTAATCCTTTGATGACTGAGAAAAGAAGAGATTTAGAAGGAGACAGTGCCCTTCTCTTGCCTCCTATGCCCTTCTGGGTTTTGTTAGGCACTTCTGAAATGCTACTGTGGGTTGCAGCTATACCTAGAAAAGGCTCACAGAGCACTGGTATGATTGGAGTCTGACATTAAGGGTCCTAGAATCACAGAGTAATCACACACAGAATCTCTCTCTTTGTGGTCAGGTTTGCTGTTTTATCAGGAGAAGATCTTGCGAATATTTTCTAAACTTTTAGCATCGGCAACAGGCTTTCTCTTGCTTCCAGGGGCCAGGAATTTCTTAATTGTTGGGATATTACTCATTCGAGTTTTAAATGCCTAGAGGAGAAAAAGTTGAAAGGAAAGTCAGTTTATGTGAAAAAAAAAAACCTCATGATAGAAAGTCAAAATGATAATGGCAATACCCCCCAAAATTCAGGGGTAGCAGTATTGAAAGTGAAAATGGTCTTAATGAAGAATTAAAACCTGTCATTGAGTGAACTATAATCAATTAAGTGACTCTCCCAAGGTAACACAGCTAATAAATTGTGGAGCCAAAATTAAAGCTTGTAACTCAACCCCTCTAAATTCTAGGGCCTTCCCTCTATTAATTATTCCCTCTGCTAGTTACTTCCTATTTATCCTGTATAGATATTGCTTGGTATATATTTGTTTGCATGTTGTCTCCCCCATTAGACCTAAGCTCTTTGAGGGCAGGTTCTGTCTTTTCTCTCTTTTTGTATCCCTGGTGCTTAGCACAATGCCTGGCATATAGTGAGCACCTAATAAATATTCATTGATTGGCTGTAACCATCTATCTACTATAACACACTGCTTACTCTCCTTGGTGCAACGTGAGTAAAATACATGAAAATGTCAGTAAGTGTGAGGGATACACTGCCATCCGTAGTTAAAAACAAAATCAGCTTCTACAGGTTTTAATTTCATTTTGTTTTGTCTGACTCTGATGTTTGGCATAGAGAACTCCTACTAAGGTAACTGCCTCTATCAATAACACAGACTGGCAAGTGCTGGGTAATTTATAATCTTGGAGAGTTGCCTAAAGCATAGAGAGGTTAAATGAATTTGTCCAAGGCAACGTAGAGAGTAGGTGTCAGACGTAAAATTTGAACCCAGGTCCACCTGACTCTGTGGCTGGCTCTTTCTTAATGACTCCATTCTGCCAAAGGTAGGGAGTAAAGTCATCTCTTCCTGGCCATATAGATATGTAGCCTTGTGGGAAAAAACTCAGTACCTGTGGCACTGAGACTCTTCCCCCCCCCCCCCCAACTACATAATTAGGAATGGCAAAAAAAAGTCACATTTCTCCATCTAGTCAAACTTTAGCAATTCAAGACTAATTTGGAAAAGGGAAGACCTCTAGAATCAAGGGAAAATCATTTAATCTCCCTGTGGCCCAAGTTACTATCTAAGGCAATGGCTTTTCAAGTGTGGTCCAGGGACTCCTTAGGCTGTCCAAGACTCTCTTAGGGGGTCTGCAAAATCAAAACCTATTTTCTTGATAATACTAAAGACACTTTAATTCCTAATAAAGTAAATATCAATAGAAATAACCCATATACACAGAAGATCTTATGGGGGGTATGTGGGGGGAAAGACCCTCAATCATTTTTAAGAGTATAAAGGGGTTCTGACATCAAAACATTTGAATACTGATGCTGTAGACAAGATCTACATTGCTGGAAGAACTTTCCACAATAGGATTCCCCTCACAGTTCCTGA